TGCTGGAGTAACTGGTGTCTCATCTGAGCCTCAGTTCTACCTCATCTGAAAGATGGGGATGATCCAGTTGGAAGGGCTAAATAGATGTATACACATAAAGCGCTGGCTTGCAGGAGGTGTTCAGCAATGTCACCTTCACCTCCCACTCCTCTGGTCCTGGCTGGCTGCAGCCCAGTCCTGGGACAACAGCCGCCGTCCCACTCCTCGTCTCAGCCCCACCTTGGGGATCCATTTCAGGCATCACAGTACCAGGGATGACCAGCAGGTGGCACCCACCCCAGCTCCCTGTCCCCAGGCTGCTGCTTTGCAGACCTCCATGGATTTCCTTACTCTTTTTTTCTGGTTTACTGTAGTTTATTTTGGATTATACAAGAAGGGGCATCAGAGTTGTGTCAGGACCCAGAGCTCTGGCTGAGAGCTATCCTCTTCCCCCCACCCCACTGGTCCCAGGCAGGAAGAGCGGGCTTGCCTGCTCTCCTCCTCCCGCTACCCATGTGGGCTTCCTGCAGTGCCTGGGGCCAGCCTCCCTGGTGTTTGCCCTGATGTCCGCTTCTGGTGCTTAAGTTGCCTCCAGTTGGTGCCAGCAGGCTGATAAGCCCTGGCTCAGGACTCCTCCCCGCCCCTGCTCTTCCTGGCACCCTTTGGAATTGGTGTTAAACACAGGCACACAGCCTCTGGTCCAGCCAAACCTGGCTGAGTAGCCTTGCGAGCTGACTGTGGGTGTGACTGCTTCATACTGTCCACGTTGCTGGGCGTACAAATAGGCATGTCTGTGAGTGTCTCATCTCCCCAAGGACTCTGGATCTCCTGGGAACCCCACCAGTGGCTGGGAGCACCCAGCTCTCTTTCCCTGGCATTAGTGTGTCCTAGGTCGGGATAAGGGTCTATGCATTTGGCTACAGGCAAGGCCTACCGTAGCTGAGCCCAGGGAGCAAGGGAGAAATAAGCTGTGGTCACGGGGGTGAGGGAACCAGCCCCACGTAGAGGCTGGAGCTCGGGCCTGCACAGCTTTCTAAGTGTGAGCAGAAGCTCCTGGACCAGCTGTCAAATACAGAGTCCGGCCCCAGAGGCAAGGCCCAGGAAACTGCATTTTCACAAGTCGTGGGGAGGCAGTTCTGCACACTTGGAATTGAGGACTGCTGGGTCTGTGGTGCTGGGTGGGAGATTCTTGTTTTTCTTGAAGCCTGCAGCTCTGATGCCAACCTGAGAGCTTCATTCTTTCTCTGTTTCCCTCTGCTTCTCTGAGGTTGCTGGTTAAGAGGGCATGGGAAGGAACTGGAACAATAAGCAAGTGTCCTCCCTACCCCAGGAGACCTCGGACCACAGAGGTCAGACTATAAGGCAGCTCCCTAGACCCCTGGGGCCGGGCCAGCTGAGGGTGAGAGTTTCCACCTCTGGGCTGGAAGGCAGGTTGCAGGCGAACCTGGTGGTGCTTGGGAAGCAGCAGCAGCAGCTCAGAACCGACTGCGCCAACCTCCCTACTTCTCCCTCCACCCTTCCTCCTCTGAACCAGCACTGGCTGCATTCACATCAAAGAAAAAACATTTCAGGAGCCAATTCATTTTTCTCAAAACATATATTTATGACTCCTCTCGGTACATCTTTGAGCACCTCTGCCGGGATCTCAGGAATGTGTAGAACTCACTCCCACGCTGTACCCCCCACCCCCCACTAGGCCTTGGTGACCAGGCCCCGCACGGCTTGCGCGATGGCGTCCTTGTCAATGCCGAACATCTTGAGCAGCTCTGTTGGTTTCCCGCTTCTTGGCACATGGCTGACAGCCAGGCGAGTGACAGTGACGCCAGGCTCGCCCATTACTGCAGAGGCCACTGCCTCACCTATGCCACCTGGACAAAGGAAAGGAGGTGAGTCAGGTGATGCAGCCTCAGGTGAGCAGTGGGCGGGTCCCCAGAGCCCCTAGCTGCCCCCCCGGGCCCTGAATCAGCCTGAGTTTATTCCCTTTCCCAAGGATGGGGGGCTGGCATATATACCAGCCACCGTGCCCTATGCCTGTAGCCAGAGCAGACATCACCAATCACAGTACTTATTTTTTTCATAAGCCCAAATATGGCCTCTGAATCATATTTAACACCATCCTCTGGGCAGCTGTCATCAACCGACATCTGCACTTGATCTCAGGGTCTAAGCCCGTCTATTCCCCTGGGGCCTGCTTTGGAGGAGAGAGTAGTGTGTATTTGTAGAGGATGGCTTTGTGGAAAACTCATTAAAGCCAGAAATTTGTGTCGCTTTCCCAGTTTGATTCTGCACAACAGCCTTGACTTTCAGGTACTTCAGGGACATGACCACTGTGTGCTCTTAGCACGGCTGGAACCCTCTCGGGCTTCCTGGGTCAGGCAGGGATTCAAGGAGCCATTCCAGCCATTGAGTTCAAGGGTCCCCAGGCCAAGCCTGAGGTCTGTTAAGAGGCCAAGTCCCAGCTGCTCTGGGTTTCCTGGGCCGCAGCTACCCTCCTGGGGCTGGGATAAAGGAGGATGTCTAGCCCTATGCCCCCAGCCCTCCCAACCTGTGTGTCTCTGGCTCTCTCACCTTCATAGTAGTGGTCCTCCACGGTGACGATCCTGCCCTTGGTAGCACGGGCACTGTCGAGAATGAGCTTCTTGTCCAGGGGCTTGATGGTGAAAGGGTCCAACACGCGAATGTTGATCTTCTCTGTGAGGGGAGGAGAAGCGGGGTGGGCTGAGGGGAAGGAGCTGGGCGCCATGGGTCTGCCCTTTGGGGGCCTTTGATGGGCACCCTGTGAGGGGGCCTGTCACACAGCTGCCCACCCCCGATGGCTCGGCCACCTCCTCTGTTGATCTGTGATGCCCGTGTCCTCCATACCCACCCCTCCACCTTGGAGCCTCCCTGGCCTGACAGGAGCAGCAGGTCTCAGGCAGGAAGAGGAGCGCCTCCTCTCTCCCCTCATGCCCTGGGCTGCAGTATCTTGGCCTTTGGACCGACCGTCAGGGAAAGCCAGAGGGACGGCCGCCTCCAGGGGTCCGCCCTGAGGTAAAGTGAGGGCATGTGGGGTGGTGGGGAGGGGAGCTGTGGCTACAGGCAGGACAGTGTCAGGTCAGGAGGATGGGTCAACCCTCCCCCTGGATCTCCAGCCCGTCTCGCTCCTGCTCTGGCCCTCCTCCCAGTTCCTCAGAGCTCTGTTCCTTCTGCCTGGGCCTCTTCGATACCCTCTTTGCTTATCAGTTCCTACTCACATCTGAGGTCATTTTCTTTTCTTTTTTAAATTTATTTATTTTTGGCTGCATTGGGTCTTCGTTGCTGCGCGCGGGCTTTCTCTAGTCGCCGTGGCTTGTCTTGTTGCAGAGCACGGGCTCTAGGCGCGTGGGCTTCAGTAGTTGTGGCACGTGGGCTCAGTAGTTGTGACTCCCAGGCTCTAGAGCGCAGGCTCGGTAGTTGTGGCACATGGGCTTAGTTGCTCCGCGGCATGTGGGATCTTCCTGCACCAGGGCCTGAACCATGTCCCCTGCACTGGCAGGTGGATTCTTAACCACTGCGCCACCAGGGAAGCCCTGAGGTCATTTTCCTAAGGACACCCATGTCCACCCTCTCCTGGGTGCTCAGCACGGCTGAAATCTGTTGTGATTCTACTGCAGGGGAGGCTAATGCCTGTCTTCCCTACAGCTAACACTTGTGAGCTCGCAATGATAATAATAATGCCAGGTCACGTTTATTAAATCCTCAGGACAGCCCCGTGGGGAAGGTGATAGTACCTCCATCATGGATGGGGAAACGAGGCACAACGATGCTGAATAACAGACTTAATTAGCAGCCAGCTAAGTAGATTCAGGCTCCAGGGCCTCTGATCTGGCCACCATGCTGGGCACACAGTGAGTGCTCCAAGCCTGGCTTTTAGTAATATTCTCATCATTTAATTCGACGAGATTTTTCTTCACCCAATACGGGGTCTGCAGTTAGCACCCCATCTAAGACTTTGTGGGTCCCACCCTCCTTACCTTTCTTTAGCAGGTCAGCAGCAGCCAAGGCCTCATGCAGGGTCACCCCAGCCCCGATCACAGTCACCTGGTCGTCCCTGCTCTTCAGGACCACCTGGGGGCAACATGGGGGCCAGTGAGGCTCAGAGTCTGGTAGACTGGGGTGGGTTCCGACCTCAGGCTCTCTCTGCGGGGTCTCACTGGGGCATAAACCACACCGACCTTGGCCTGTCCGATTTGGAAATCCTCATTGTTGTTGTAGATGATGGCGTTTTCTGGGCGGCTGGTCCGGATGAAGCAGATGCCCTGGAATGAAACAGAATAACTGAGGATTTCAGGACGCAGGACTTCCAACCTTGAGGACTGGAGTCTTTCCTCTGCAGCACGTGCCTCTCCAAATATTCCTCCTGCGTGACAGCCAGCCCCAAGCCCCAGATGGAAGATAACTTCTCCATCAGGTAGACTGGCCTCCAAGGACTGCACACCCCCCCCCCGCCCCCCCCCCCAGAGTGCTGTGGCTCGCCCCCTGCCCTCAGAGGGACGAGAGCCATGTGAGACATTCCAGTCAATGGCAGCGTGGCTCTGGTTCAGGACTCAGTTCATTCCGTCTTGGAGAATTCAACTCAGGGAGGGCAGACAGGCATCAACTGCTGGATTGGCAGGGGCCGCCAGGATGCTCAGTGGTGAAAGAGAGCGGTGATCAATTAGCAATGTCTGCCACGCAGCAGGAAGGGTGGTGTGTATTTCATTTTTCCTGGTCTAACTCCTCCAAGCCACACCACCAGTGCAAGGTCAGGAGACACCACTCTGGGGCAGCAAATGATCAGCTCTGGGCCTGCATACTGGCCTCCCTTCCCGTCCCTTTAGGGAAGTGCTAGCTGCCAGCTGAAGAAAGAACAGTTAAGTGACCTACCTTTCTATTGGCTGCTAATTCCACTGCCTTCTCCGTAGACACCCCATCGCTTGGGTAAAAGACGGTTGACATGGGGACAGACCGAAACATAGCCAGATCTTCCAGGGCCATCTGGGAGGGCCCATCTTCCCCTGGGGTGTGGGAAAGGATATGCTGAAGTAAGACCTCATGCGTGGAATGGAATCCTGGCCCCAAACCCTGTTTCAGAAGTCCAGGGACAGAATTTCGCGCCAAGCTGGCGGGCTATCCCCGGCAGTGTGACGTGCTAGCTCGGAAGTGTTTTCTGCCACCGTCATGGTTCGTCTGCTAAACTGCATTGTCGCTGTGTCCCAGAACATGGGCATCGGCAAGAATGGGGACCTGCCCTGGCCCCTGCTCAGGTAAACAGAATTTGGTGATTATGGGTGGGAAAACCTGGTTCTCCATTCCAGAGAAGAATCGACCTTTAAAAGTACAGAATTAATATAGTTCTCAGTAGAGAACTCATGGAACCTCCACAGGGAGCTCATTTTCTTGCTAAAAGTCTGGATGATGCCTTAAAATTTATTGAGCAACCAGAATTAACAAATAAAGTGGACGGGGTTTGGATAGTGGGAGGCAGTTCCGTTTATAAGATATCCAGGTGTTCCTTCTGATGTCCAGGAGGAGAAAGGCATTAAGTACAAATTTGAAGTATATAAAAAGAACAATTAATGTGAAAGTGATTTCTGATCTATTTAAAGCCTCCTCCTCCCCCCCCCCCCCCAAAAAAAATTATGTATTTTTTGTTGTGGAGACTGTTGACTTTAGATCTATGGATAATTATTTCTAAGCAAAGTACTTTTTTTTTTTAAGCAAAGTACTTTTATTCCCCATTAATCTTAACTAGACTGTATCAGATACCATTTGTGAAACATTTCTTGCTGTAACTGCCTGAATGCCCATCAAGAGTCAAGAATAGGTGACCAGCACGTGCCTAGGGTAGAATATCTACCAAGACAGCCCAAAGTGGCAGCGTCCCCTGGCAGCATGAGTTGAAACCAGAGCCTATAGAGCTAGGAGCTGGGCAGATGGGTCCAAAGGTCAGAAATAGATTATAAACAGAAGAGTTAGCATTCAGTTATTAAAATTACATCAAAAGAGGGACTGTGAATTACTTTATATCACACTTTTGAAAAAAATTCTGTTCACTCAGACTAGGAGTCAATAAGTTGAAAACTCCAGGATACTCCACAGAGATAGTAAAGAGGCAGGTACGAGACTACCTTTTCGGTGGTTAAAGGAGAAGGTCTGAGACCTTAAAAAACTTTGTTTCTGATCTTCAATGAGATTGCATGGGATGCTACAATGATAGAATAAGAATTGGCTGCTCTTTACAAAAAAGAATAACCTAATATCAAGCATAATGGCTAAAATTAAAAATTCAAAGAGGTGAAAATTGAGAATGAATATTGCTAGAAACCAAAATTAGTAAGTTAGAAACTAAACTTCACAGAATTAAAAAATGAAAATTAAAACATGTTTTACCCATCACTTTAGCAAAGATTTAGATTAAGTATCCAAAAAAAAAAATTAGCATTTTCTGCCTTATAAATTGGTACAACCTTTTTAGAGTGTAAGTTAGCAATATCAATTAAAATTCAAAGTATTCTGGGTTTGGACCCAGAACTTCCACTTCTAGAAATTAATCCTGAACAAAGAAATGGACCCAAGAGTATTTCTTGCAACTTTCTTTTTCAAACTTGGAAACAGCCCAAATGTTGATTAATAAGAAATAACTAACCAATATGTCTATAGAATGTAACATCTGCAGCAGTTAAAAAGAATGAAGTACTGACAGAAAAATGCCAAAAATTGCTAAGTAAAAGAAGCAAATTGTGTAAAGTACTCAAAATGTTTAATAAATGTGCATGTGTGGGAAAAAGCAAACAAAAAAATAAAATAAAAAGAACTCCGGGGACGTCACAGGTGTGACACCCGGCCACAGCTCCTTACCGATGGACACGCCGCAGTGGGAGCCGCAGAGGTTGATGTTGCTCTCGGAGATGGCTGCCATGCGAATCTGGTCAAAGGCCCGCGTAAAGAAGGCTGCAAAGGTGCTGCAGAAGGGCACCGTCCTGTCACGTGTGGCACAGCCCACGGCGATGCTCACCTGGGGGCAGAGTGGGTGGTGTCAGCCCAGAGGAGGGAGAGGGTGGCCAGGGGGGCCAGGACCCCCAGGGCCACCTCTTGGGAGGTGAGGGTTCCGTCATCCTAGTAACTGTTAATTCTCCTCCTCCCATGCAAGTGATCCTGTGCGCCCACGGACTCCACAGTCTGTTTCCAAACTCCTTCAACTTGAAATCGTAATTTCACAAGTTCTCTTAAAATCACTCTCCTGGGGAACACTTTTCTAGCAAGAAAAGCCTTTCACAGAGCAGGCCAGTAAGCTTGAGCATGGATGGTCCATCCTTCCCAGGCCTCTGCAAGTCTCCTCCACCATCTCCCTGCCACCCCAAGGCCTCTGCAGAGACCAGCCCTCGCAAGCCCTCTGTATGCCCAGAGGCCCCAGGCCCCATATGCTGGCCCAGAAGCACTGAGTGCAGGCACTGGTTCTAAATTGGCATCGCCTCCACAGCTCCGAAACCCACCAGCTGACAGGAGCCCTCCTTCCCCAGCCCCCCACCCCCTGGCCCCGGCCCCTCCAGCTGCCAAGGCTGGAAGCCAGAGACAACTTCAGGTTCAGGTGGAGGAAGAACTCTGGATGCAGCAGAGTCAGGTGGTCTCCAGGGGGAGGAAGCTCCCAGTTCCTAGAAGCCTGCAGGCCAGGCTGGGCTCCTCGGCCAGGATATTTTGAAAAACAGGACAAAACACTGTTCCTTATTTAACAACCACAGATCCTGACAAGGAGCTGTTAACCCAACTGTGTGCATGACAGGGGTCCACAAAGTTCTCTCATCTCTGTATTCCACAGGGTAGCAAGGGCCAAAGCCTTGTGCATAAAAGGGCCCAGCAGACTTTGGCTGCTAGTTCCAGCCTCCTGGCTGTGCCTGCCCTTCCACCTGGAGGGCCCTTTACCCCCAGAGAAAGCCCCTCCACCACAACGACTGGCCTGCGTGCAGCATCCCCTGCTCAGCTCTCCCGTGTGCACTCACCCAGCCCTTGGGTGTCACAACACCCCTCCCCCACCAGTTACTTGAGGTCAAGGGTCAATGCTGGGTCCTAGCTGTTTCTAGGGCCTAGCAGGCACCTGGCACTGCCAAACACGGCTGCTCAAGGGAACAGGAGGGGTTCAGCCCTGCCCCTGCACCCCTCAGACCCCAGCTGCACCCACCATGTTCTGCTCAGCAATGTAGCACTCGATGAATTGGTCTGGGTGCTCCTTTTTGAAGAGTTCTGAGAAGGTGGAATTCTTGGTGTCCCCGTCCAGGGCGATGATGCGGTCGCTGGCGTGGCCCAGCTTGGCCAGGGCCTGCCCATAGGCCTTGCGGGTGGCTATCTGTAGGGAGGAGAGTGGGAAGGCTGAGCACCTCGGGGGGCATGTGGCCTGGAGCCCAGCTCAGCCTCTGGGCCATAGCTTCCACCAGGGAGGAAAAGGGTAAAACAGCAGAAAAAGGAAGCCCAGCAGCATACGGCCCTATGGAAACTTCTGTAAGGGTGCCAATAAGAACTTAAAACGATCAATGTCTTGGGTGCAGCCTCTTGTCTCCAGCCCGGCTATGAACCATCTGAGCTGGAAAAGATGTCCTAACAACCCCATTTCCCCAGCCCTGTGAAAGAGACCTGTGAACGCGCCCCACTCTGCACGAGAATACACTGAGGGCCTGGGAGTCAGAAAGCCTGACTCAGGTGGCACTGATGGGTCCACAAGGGGGAGTGCCCAGAGCCGGGCAGGCCTGCCCTTTGCCTTTGCCTGGCCAGAAGTGGGGGAGTCCTGAGCGCAGGCCAAGGCCATGATGGACCGGGGCTGGGGAGGGGACTCAGAAGCTGTCAGCTTTGATCCCAGTAGCTTGCTGTGTGACTATGGGCAAATCCCTTGCCCTCTCTGAGCCTCTCTGCATGTAAATAATTCCAGAGCTGGCTGGCCCCATGAAAGAACTGGCAGGAGCAACATCTCAGGGTTCCTCCTCACCCAGAACTAATCTAATCTCTCTTCTCTTTCCCAGCCCCAGCCCTGGGGAACCAGAGAACCGCTGCCACCCTAGCCCAACCAGTCCAGAAAAGTGAGGCCCAACTGGGTACCTTGTCCCCAACTTTGTAGCTGGGTGGGGTGGGCATTCTGATGTTGGTAATGTCCACCGAGGGGGTGTCCTCCTGGGGGGGTTTCGCCAGGATCTTCTTTTTGCTCTGGATCTGGCTGAAGATTTCCTGGATGATCTGATCAGCCATGTTTTTGGGGAGGGGCTTCCCATGCCAAGACTCCTTATCTTCTATCCCTATGGGTACAACGTAGGAGGGCAGAGGGACAGGTAAGGTGAAAGCTCCCAGAGGGCCAGGAAGCTGCTCGAGGGGGCCTAACCCTCCACACGTCAAGGGCAGGCCACCATGGGGGTCAGGGAAGGAGGACCATGGTGACCAGCACTCAACTGCAGGCCCCTGTTGAGTAGCAGCCCAGTCCCCCAGGAGCTCCCAGTGGGGAGGGGGCATGTGTGGTAGATGAATGTTGCTGGCATGCCACCCCATCCCATTCCCCTTGCATCACCTCCCCACCCCAAGCCTGCACAGCGTGGGGTCTGCTGTAGAAATCACACTCAGTTTGTTGCATAGGTTGGGAGAGGAAGCTGAGGCCTAGGGCGGGGGGAGCACCGCCAAGGTCCCCTATGCATCAGTGAGCAGCAGACAGGGCTCTGTAAGCCCCCAGGTGCAACCCCTGTTGGGGGGGGGGCATCTTGCCGTGTGGGGACCAGTGAGACTTAATAACCCTCTCCTCTAAGGTCACCTCAGATGTCACCACAGCCTGGAGAAAGCCAAGGACTAACCCTCCCAAGCAGCCCCCAGGAGTTGAGGTTTCCAGATCTCACGTGGTGGTAACACCTGAGGAGTCAGCATCAGCGGCACTGAGGCCATGACTGTATCCCAGAGTCCTCTCCCAGAAGGTTCCAGAGCTGTGCACTTCTTCCCAGATACCAGTGAATATCCTCATTTACCTCAAGTCCACACAGGCAGAGGGGGACGTGACCCCTGGTGGGCAGGGGGAGAGCCGGGCACATGGCAGTGAAGCCAGCCCGGAGCCTGCAGTTAGCCCTTTTAGTGCCAGACTCCCTGTATCCCTGGGCAAGTCCCTGGCCACTTCTAGCCCCATCTTCCCATCGTCACAATGGGCAAGGGCCATCCCAGCCCCAAGCAAGGGTCTGGAGCCCGTGCCTAGGTGCTAGGGAGGGGCTTATGTCTGCACGGCTCTCAGGCCAGGCACAGGAACCATCTTCCAGACGCTCCTGGGCTGCCCACCTGCACAGGCCTCTGGAATCACTTTTCCATTGCATGAGGGGTACCCTGCTTGCCTCCTAGGGAAGAATCTAGGTCTCCCCAGGATTTCCTGGGGCTCCCTGCATCAGCCCTTCGGCTCAGGGCAGACAGCTGGAGCTGTCAAGGTCGCTCTGCAGATGCCAGGCAGGGAGTGTCCTCTCTCCTTACCCACAGTCCTTCCCAAGTCCTCCCTCTCCTCCTGCCTACACATGACCCCCAGTCGAGACCAGCCAAACCAGGCTCTAAATCCCAGCTCAGCCACGCTGCCCAGCAAGTCTCCTGCTCCCCCTTCCCTGGACTGGGTGCACTCTGCTGAGGAAGCAAGCGGCTGGCTCAACCCCAGGCACGGGCTCTCAGAGGCATATGCCTCCTAAACCACCCCCTCTTCAGTCAGCCGCAGGGCCCAGTCCCGGGGTGGTAGGTGGGAGGAGACTCGAGCATACAGACCTGTGATGCCTCGACCCTTGAAGGTCTTGGCAATGATGACCGTTGGCTGGTTCTTGACCTGCCCGAAGGCCTTGCACAGCTCCTCCACGCTGTGTCCATCTACGATGATGGCGTGCCAGCTGGGGACAGAAAGAGGGCGTGAGGGGCGAGGGCCCTGAGAAGGGCCCTGGGGAAAGGCCCTGCCCTCGCTGCACTGCACGGCTGCGATCTGGAAAAGAGCTGGAGGAGCTGGGGTGCCTCAAACCTGCTGGATTCCGATCTGCGTTTAATTTTCTCTTTTCACATTGTTTTACTTCCTCTTGTCTGCCTTTGAACAGATTTTCCTCCTCTCTCCTAAGTAATGCAAAGCCTAGTTACTTATTGTCTTTCATTCCTGAGCTATTCATTTCCTACTGAAAGCTGCTTTTAGGACAATGCAGTGGGTTTGGAATCTACTGCTAGATTTTTGATGAATTTTTATTTAAGGGACACATCCGATCACTCCATAGATAGTGGACGTGGTGCCAGAAACTTGTATAAAATGAGTCATGTTGTCAAACATCCAGAGGAAGGAGCGCTTCTCTTTCAGGCAATCCCTTTTGGGACACTTTTTGGCAGATTAATAGTAACAGAAGTAGCAGCTCACACTTATTGAGTGCCCACTCTATGTAGGCACGGGGCTGAGCACATATTAACCCATTTAAACCTGTTTTTGGGCTTCCCTGGTGGCGCAGTGGTTAAGAATCCGCCTGCCAATGCAGGGGACACGGGTTCGCGCCCTGGTCCTGGAAGATCCCACATGCCGCGGGGCAGCTAAGCCCATGTGCCACAACTGCTGAGCCTGCGAGACACAACTACTGAAGCCCACGTGCCTAGAGCCCGTGCTCCCAACAGGAGAAGCCACCGCAATGAGAAGCCCGCGCACCGCAACAAAGAGTAGCCCCCCGCTTGATGCAACTAGAGAAAACCCATGCGCAGCAACGAACACCCAACGTAGCCAAACATAAATAAATAAAATAAATTTTTAAAAAAAGAATAAAAGCAAATTATTAAAAACAAACAAAAACCTGTTGTTGTCCCCATTTTATAGACATGTAAACTGACATACTGAAGGTGGAGTAATCTGCCCAAGGCCGCAAAGCAAGTTAAGTGATGAAGCCAGGACTTAAGGAATCTGGCTTCGTTGCCACAAGGTTATGGACACAGACCCAAGGATGCTGCCGGGGTTATACTCCAAGTCCCCAGCCCGATGTGGCCTTGAGGAGGTCTGTCCCTGAGGCATGTTGTGGCTGTTTCTTCCCCTGTCCAACAGAGAATCTTTCTTCTCTTCATTTTCTCCCTCTGTAAGGTCACTCAGAGATAACAGCCCTGTGTCTGCTGTGTGATCAGGTACTGCAACTCCAACTCGACTTTCCCTGGTCATCGGCTCATCTATGAAGGGTGGCCTTGAAGGCCCTGGGCCCTCAGAGCCCAATTGCAGAACTTGTATTTGGGGTAGGGGAGGGACATCAAGGTGAGGCCCTCTCTGGCTGACACCCGCCCAGATGGACCTCCCTGCTTTGTAACACGTGACTCTGAATTCACAACCATCCAAGGCCCATGGGGGAAATCTGGAAATCCTATCTCCCGTTTCCCTATGAGAGGCCTGTTCCTCCTCCTGTCACAGGAGGTAACCAGTGGCCTGACGTACTGAGCGAGCCTGGTCCACACCGTGCACCTCCTGCCTCCTCACCCAAGAACAAGGTGAGGATGTGTGAGATCACGTTATGTGGAAGTTCTGAGAGCCATCACACCACCCAACGTGCAAATAAAAGAACTTGCTCAGAGCTGGGCCTCAGCCCACAGATCCATGGCACTGGCTAGGGCGGCCACATGCCCTGTGAGTCAGACCCTGAAGGGAGACCTTCTTTTGATGGGGCTTAACCTCTGGCTTCAGCCCCTGCATCTGCAAAGCTTTTGGCACAGAGGTATCCTTTGCTATGAGGGTGCTCAGGCCACAGCCTCGTACGTACCCGAAGGACTCGCAGCGCTTCTGGTAGACGTCCATCTGATGCTGCAGCGGGGTGGGGTCGCTCTGGCCCAGGCGGTTGATGTCAAGAATGGCGACGAGGTTGTCCAGCTTGTAGATGGCCGCAAAGGCCATGGCCTCCCACACGGAGCCCTCTGACAGCTCCCCGTCTCCCAGCAGGCAGTAGACACGGTAGCTGTGGGGGGGTGGGGGTGGGGGGGTTAGAGACCGGCCCCCCTGCCTGGCCCACGTGCCCCTGGCCTTTCCCTCTGGGACGTGCAACAGCTGTGCCCACCCCAAGTCCACACCCAGTGAGGAAGGGGCTGTGAAGGAAGCTGTCAGGAGCTCCAGAAAGTAGTACCAGCTGCCAAGAAACAGCTCCAGACAGCAGTGTGGGGTGGTTAGGGCATGAAGAAAATGGTGAGGTTCACAGGGGCTGACTACTCAGGCTGGGCGGGAGGGCCTTGAGCCACCCGCTGCCGGAGCGCACCCACTTCTCTCCACCCCACCGTGAACCAGGACTGCTGGGGTAGCCCTGGGACTCGCTAAGTGGGCCAGAGAGACAGAGCACCTTTCTGCTCAGAGGAGCTGGGCCAGGGAGGCCATCTGTGATGCACCCTAGAGGGAGGCTTCAGGTGAAGATGAGCACGCACGAGGGGGCTTGAAGGCCGGGATCACGGTGTCGGCAGGTGCCTCGAAGGATGGTCTCCTCCCAAACTTCTGGGGCTGGTTCTTACCCAAGACTAGAGCTGGGCCTAGGCTTTCTCCACCCCAGGGGCTATCTCCTGCCCTCAAAACAGGCAGCCATGATTGTTCCAAAGGCAGTGTGACACGGTAAAAAGAGCAATAAAGTTGCGATAAATTACCCAGAAACAGAACCTTCCCTGGCTGGGGAGGGTGGAGCCAAGGGGTGAGGCTGGAGGCAGGGAGGCCAGTTCAGGGACCTTGATCCCAACACCCAACCCCCCAACTCTGCTTAGCACTGAGTAACCCTCTCAGAGAAGGTAAGTGCAGTTGTTATTCCCAAGAAAACATACAGACAAGGAAACAGGCTCAAAGGTCAAGGCACCTGCCTGAAGATCATGCAGTTGGGGAGCAGCTGAGCGAGGATCCAAACACAGGCCTGACTGCCCAGTCCAGACTGTTCACTCCCTGCTGACTAGGATCGCACACAGGGGGAGGGGCAGCAGGATGCCGAGACCCCCTTTCCCCCGCCCAGCGTCCAGATGCGTGACCCCAGGGAGCGAGGCTGGTGCCTGGACGGCTCGGAGAGATGCAGCCGCCCTGCTGCTGAGTGGGTTGGGCCTCCAGGCCTCCCTGCTGCAGGGCCAAGGCAGGGGGAGCTGAAGAGAGGCGGGGACGGCTGTGGTGCTGCCAGCATGACTCAGCACCCCTGCAGGCCTCCAGGTCAGGGAGGGCTCCTGCATCCTCCCCTTGCCACGCCAGGCCCGTACCTTCGCTTCTGCGGCCTCCAGCCGGCCAGGCCACTGGTTCCCCCACAAGGAGCAGAAGGTCCCACTCACAGAGGCTTATCTTAAGCTGGGTCTTGCAGGCTGCAAGGGGGGGCCCAAAGACACTGCAGGGGTGGGGTCTGGCACAGCAGCTCCCGAAAATGACCAGCCTGACAGGGCTAAGCCAGAGAAACCTGTAGGGAACTCGACTTCCCCAAAAAGGGATTCCAGGGAAGCAGACTGGCTGCCTTCCCAACCCCACACCCACTTCCAAGGAACCTGAACTGGGGCCAAGCGTGGAGTTCCAGCATAGCCTCAGACTCAAGTCAGGAAGGCGGTGTGGGGAGACACTGGGGGTGCTTGTGAACAGGAAAGGGGGTCCTGCAGAAGCCAGGGCTAACCCTGAGGCCGCATATTTCCTGAAGCTGTTAGATTCAGGGTAGGGCTACAAATGCCCAACATTTGCTGCAGGAGTTGGGAAACCACCTCAAATATCCAACAACAGATGACGGTCTAAACGTGTTACAGCATCCCCATAAAACAGAACAGTATCCAGTCATTAAACCTAGCTCTTGGACTTCCCTGGTGGCACAGTGGTTAAGAATCCGCCTGCCAATGCAGGGGACACGGGTTCCAGCCCTGGTCCGGGAAGATCCCACATACCGCGGAGCAACTAAGCCCGTGCGCCACAACTATTGAGCCTGCGCTCTAGAGCCGGGAAGCCACAACTACTGAGCCCGTGTGCCATAACTACTGAGCCCGAGTGCCACAACTACTGAAGCCCACGCACCTAGAGCGCGTGCTCTGCAACAAGAGAAGCCACCGCAATGAGAAGCCCGCGCACCGCAACAAAGAGTAGTTCCCACTCGCCGCAACTAGAGAAAAGCCCACGCACAGCAATGAAGACCCAACACAGCCAAAACTAAAAATAAAATAAAAAAAACAAACACTAGCTCTTGACAGGGTGTGAGAAAGTGTTCAGATTTTTCTAAAAAGCATTGGGTAAAATTGTATAAATACTAGGATTATAAATCCATTAAGTTTTTTCTCACAATAACGTGGAGGAAATAGGATACACGGTTAAGTGAGACTGAAATGG